CTGAGTGAATCACGGCAACGGTAGAGTATAGGGCTTCAGCTAACTTGAGATAGCCTGTGGACCATGTCATACGTTGGGTGGTGGTAGAGATGTTATGGACGGGGGAACACGCCGAACGAAGAGAAGGCGGAATACATGGAGACACAGAAAATTAAAAAGATTTTGCCGAAAGTCTTATCGTATGCTGTCATCGGGCAAAGAATGTGAGAGCGATTATTTATGAAGTAGACAGAAAGCAACTTTCAAGAAATAACGGATTTTGACCAAATCGTCGTAAGCAGCTTTGTATCCTGTCAGGAAGCCAAGAAAATTTCAACTAATAGGAACGGTGAGTAATAAGTGGTGTTTGCAGTCACAAGGAATTTTAGTTCACATGCTGGAGTTGCCAACTTCGCGGGGTCCTACACCCTACCGTTGCCTGGATCATTTGACTTCCTAGTTCAAAGTGCTCGCTCTGGTTAACTTTCGCTCCTAGAGTCACAGGGATTACAGAAAGTAAAAATGGGTTTCTATTATATCCACGCCTACCTACCTGTAATATCTCGCAGGCTAAAACATTAACCCTATAAAAATCATTCTTTTTTGGCGACTAATACGGCAGGTTTCGTCTAGTGTTCATTATGCACGGGCTGAATTTCCTTCACATACACTCCAACTACGCCCCCTAGTCCCCATTTATAAATGCCTACTCTGCCCTGCTTATATTTTGCCATTTGGCTGTTATTTGCCAACTTTTAGTAAGAAAATATGTACTGCCCCTTTAGAACGTAACTTACCACATACTCTTATATCAATGATGCTATTTTCCTAATTTCTAGTTGGTACGTCATCGATCAGGTAACTCTTCTGTTGAGCACTGAAAGATTTTGCGCAACTAGTCATTAACTGCCACAAAGTCACCTATCCCTCCCCTCCAAGCCCTAATTGGCTTATCCAGCTCGTCTGCCGTAGGATGGTTTATCAACAATCGGTCAAACCATTCGTACCACGGTTTCTGACATTTTCTAGATTGCAATAATAAAACTAATATCTAATTTTTCACCTTGGGAGTTCCAAAAGGGTAATTTGGCAATACTGAAGCTTACTAGTTCCTACAGATTTAATAACGGCCTACAGAAGGTGACGCACTTTATCAGACTTTAATTATGATCCCGAGATGTGATTTCGGTTAAAAATAACTCCCTGTGTGGAAGTTATAATATTAAGGATCTTGCGGATAAGTCCCGAGCTACTTCAGGAACACCGAGATGCTGGTTATTGAATGCTCAGCTTTCTGGTCGTCTGAAAAAAATCGCATGTCAAAAAGACTACTTATATAGTTTGGGAATTTCTTCGGGATTTTCAAAATAATTTAAATAATGAACCATACCTTATAAGACGTTTGCACAAAGATATTTTTTCTCATACGCATTCGGTAACATATCGTACCTTCTTTGCATTTTATGCTCAAGGAAAAGGTATCCTTTGGTTTTAAAAATGATGTTGAACTCTAGAATAATTGTGAGCCTGATCCTCGGTTTCATTTACGTTTAGGGTTTTCCGTTTACAAGGCGTATACCTTCTATCTAAGAAAAAATCACGTCTTCCTTTATGTTATTAAGATCCTCTGTGGAGCTCATAGATTTTTGCAACGAATATTGACTACTTTGCATACTTCGTAAACAGCGTTAGTAGACTTGCAGATAAGATGTTAATGGAGCATATATGTTGTAATATTAAACAATTTCGTTAATACAAACTTTCTCAATCGTAAGATCCCTTTTCTCAGCGGAAAGTTCAAAAAATACATAGTGTTGCACAAAATAATTGTAAGTCAAAAGATTTCTTGTACAGGAGTTCTATAAGTATAATCAAAATTACTGGCGTCTCAACCATCAGACCTACGGACTACCCACTTGCTTCAAAGAAACTTCCTACATTTCTCTGCTTCCATTATCTTTTTTAGTAACTATTACGAAAAAGTGGATGACGGTTGATATTGTGGGATCCAGCCTGCTAAAATGCACGCCAATCATGCTAACTTCTGAAATAAATTGTCCCTTAACATGCTGAATCCTGAATACTTGACTTTTTAAACTGGATATGATTAATTAATTATTCTCAACTCCCTTTCAAAGTGGTACCTGATTTAATCTTTGCGATCATTGAAGGCAATGAAGTGAGTGCCAACTGATAGAGCGGAAGGTCTTTACCGAGTATCCTTGCATGGGTATTTTTAAAAAATTCTGCTCAAATGCACAGATACTCCAATGTTTCAATTATCTCAAAACTACTTTTCACTTTATTCAACTGTGCAACCTCAAATTTGTGATATTCGTCATTTGAAAGCGCACTTAAAGACCGTGGTCAGTTTTTCGAGTGTTCCGGCGCCTACTGTATGGGCTGTGAAGGACAAGTTTGTCTCAGATTATTTGCCTATGTTAGTGCTTTTGCTGAGATAGCAAATAGTTGCCTTATTCTATTTTCCCCCACCGTATTTTCTTCTCACACACTAACTTCGCAGTGGAGCCAATGAACTTCAGCATTCGGACTTCTTCCAAGGTCTGACTGTGGCATTATTGTTTAAACATTCGAGCATGATATTATTAGTCTGCGTAACTATTAAAATGAATCTTAATCATAAAGCGTGCTACGTTTGTTTTCTGGAACACTGCTGCCGAAACCTGGATTCGGAAATTTCTCTCACTTGAGTGTGTACAGACTCCAATGTAGATTTCTGCGGGTAGCGTGGTCATATATCAGTTCCCACTAGGCTACCTGACCGTATACGTGACTCTGCAGGGCAAATGTTGTTAACTAAGGTTGTCAGAAGTAGATCGATGATTTTCTCTCCTCTTTCAAGGAATCTGCAGCTTTTTATGAAGGGTTTATCAGCTTATTTGCGGCCCTTCCATGGCATTCGCTTAGGATAAAAGGGTGCGGCGTCGGGGTGACCGACCCTTTGACAATGTCCATGCCTCTCCGAACCCTTTTCGTCTTTCCCTCCTACTTTACTTCCTACTATGGCATAGAAAATTACGCCTGATTGAATATAACTCCAAGGGCAGGTTAACCAATCCTCAGTTATCTCACGAGCACAGGTCCGCAAGGTCAGTCCAAATTGTACCTTTCGGTTTCTTTACGTAACGTTGGACACACCAGCCAATGAAGCACCGTTGTTTACTTGTCACTATGGTTACCACAAACGCTAATCGAGACTTTCCACTTGTCCTCTCAGTCCGCTAATGTGACTCCCCCACTCGTGCTCTCTTTCTCTTGTGCGCAGGATGATAGCCTCAAGCATGAAAGCAAGTCACATAATCGCTGTCCTCAACATCTGTAAACGTGGGGATGTTGTATTTCTAAAAAAACTACTTGCCACAGATTGCAATTTTAACGAGGTTGTTGATCGTAAGGGCCGCAATGCACTGCACTACTGTGCGGAGACGGATTCCGTCTTATCGGGACAGGCGAAACCGGGTGGGAGACTGGCCTGTGCAGAACTGCTCCTCGAATCCAAATTCAACTTGAAAGATCAGGCTGACAATGATGGCTTCCTGCCATTTCACCATGCCGTCATCCATGGAAACATTCCGTTGGTACAGCTCCTGCTGACGCACGGTGTGGATGTAAATTGTGCCGTTCGCCCCAGCGATGTACAAAACAGTCCTGCGGTAGCAGGCCGCACAGCCTTCCATCTGGCCGTCATCTATTCAAACTACGAGATGCTCGACTTCCTACTATCAGGTTCCTTCGAACTAAACAACGTCTCACATCAATTTCAAGTAGACGTCCAGGAGTTAGACGCCCAATGTGCAACCGCGCTTCACTACGCCATTCAGCTACCGGAGGCAGTGGCCGCCTCAATGATAAAGTGCATCATTGAGAAGTCATCGATTCGGATCGACAGCCCGGATGCTCATAGACGAACACCTCTCCACTGGGCTGCTACCATCGGCGCTGCCCACGCGGCAAGTATTCTAATTGAGCTGGGCGCTGACATGACTCTCGTTGATGAGAGTGGTCTCACGGCCATGCACTGTGCTGCATCACGTGGACACTCAGGCACGGTGGAGGCCATTATCAAACATCTCCCAATGGAAGAGGAAGTGGAGAAAGAGGGGAGTGATGACGAAGAGGAGGAGGAGGAAGAGGAGGAGGAGAAGGAGGAGGGGGAGGAAGAAGACACTAAGCCTGTCGAACGTGAGGAAAGGGAGGGCCAGGAAACAATGGAGAAGCAAACCCCCAAAGTAGACAGTTTGAGGACAAGAGTTCTGGATGCTATGGACGCGGACGGATGTACACCCATTTTCTACTCAGTCACCATGGGACATGCAAACGTGACGCGGAGGCTGCTTCTTGCCGGTGCAAATGCCTGTGCTAGGGACAGTCGTGGCCGCGGCCTGTTGCACTGTGTCAGTCGATCCATGGTGCCGGGTAGCGCCGTGGTTGTACCTCTCCTAGTAGCTCATGGCGTCAATCCTGACTGGGTGAATGCAGTGGGTGAGTCTGCCCTTCACGAGGCCTGTAGTAATTTGAATAGAGAATGTGTGGCCGAGCTGCTAAAACTCGCTTCAGTGCGCCAGTCGTCCGTACTGAATGCCAAGAATTCTTCCCAACACACCCCCCTTCAACTTGCTACTATGGCAGCACTTAGGACAAATGAGAGACCGGCGGCGTGTGCGACAGCAGTCGAAATCTGCCGAGACCTCTTTAGCGCTGGCGCTTTGGCCAAGAGTGCTGATGGAGATGGCACTGAAGATATCTCCTCACCCATCGCCCTGGTACGCAGTTGCCTTCGAAGTGCTCCCAACTACCGACCGGCGATTGAACTGGAGAAACTCTTTTCTGGAGAGAAAGATGCGGGTAACGATGACGAGGGGGTGGAGGAAGTGGGAGAGGAGAAGATCATGGAAGTGACTGGGACAACAATGGAGAAGACTGAAGAGCACACCACATCAGAGGAAAAGATGGGCGATGATACGGACCAGGATGTAGACAACACCAACTTTGAGATTGAGGAAGAAGAAGTCATGGAAGCAGCGCAGGGAGAAAAAGGAAGCTTCCAAAGCTCGTCCAGCATGTTCACTGTAAACTCAAGTGAATCCGAAAAGCCCATTGAAGATACTAGCTCGCAGCGGACAATAACCCCTCTGGATCGCTCTGTCCCCTTTTGTCCTTCCTCTGAGGATAATCAGGAGGCGTCGCCCTCCAAGGAGGAGGAGGAGGAGGAGGAGGAGGAGTATGAGAAGGGAGAGGAGAGGGAAGAGGAGAGGGAGAGGGAGGAGGACTCACAGCATCCAGAGAGTTTAACAGTAAGTATGCAGCAGACGGCCCTCCCCTCAAGTACGGATGGTCGAGGGGAACTTTGCTCCAAAGACGATAAGGTGCACGAGCAGGAAGGTATCCCGTCAGTTTGTGCCAAAGGTAGTAGACGGCGGTCAGCCCCAGCGAGCAAAGTTAATGGTCGACGGCGCAGTTCCAACAGGTCTCGAACATCCACGAAATCAGTCTCGAGACCTCCTCCTGAATTGCGTAGAATATCAGCACCCATGTGGTCGACCACGGTCGAGCGCCCTCCAGCTTTTTTCAGACAAGCAAGTTGCGCCGAGATTGGAATTGTTTCAACTCCCTCCCGTCCTTCACGAACAAAGGTGCAGGGTATACGCTCCAAAGTTAGTGTTCCCTCTAATAAGACCTCAACAGTCAGTCTGTCAACCATCAGAGAGCCTCCCTGCGCGTTGAGGCGTTCTCTGACAGATGTGGCCTTGCAGACCGATAGTGTCGCAATTCCTTCGGCCACCAGTTCGGTCTCCACTGTGGTCTTCAAAACCGCAGCCGGCACTCAGACATCTCTGAACGGGGACGCGCACGCACTGGACGGAGACAGTCTTCTCAGTTCGCGTACTTTCGTCTCTAGCACCGACACCAGCACGGATCTTAGCCAACGACGCGGTCTGCAGGCGCCCTACCGCAAGCGGCCCCTGTCAGAGAGCAGACGGGGTACGGCAGGAAACAGGGATGCCTTTCGACAGAACAGTCGCGGAGTCTATGAGTCGCCGATCACCGGACGCCAACGCATGCCTCTGCCCACAATCACTCCCTACCTGACCCCCGTTGCTCGCTGGCCGAGGCAGATGGCCTCCATGATGCTCTTCGGTGAGGTGACGCCGCTCTATGTTACTGGTCGCCGTCAGGTCCCGGGACCAGCCTCCCCCAAACAGCCGGCTAGAGGCGCAATGACACTCGGCCAGAGCAGATTCGCGGAACGCGCTCGATCAGCCATCGAGGCGCGCATTCAGCTGACCGTGGCGGAGAAAGAGTTTGTCAACTTGGCTGCGCGCGTCCTGCAGCAGTATGACACCCTGAGTCAGGAGCGAGAAGCATTGCAAGTCGTAGGCAGACAGAAAATGGCTCCCGAGTTTTCCCGAAACAGCCACGGAAAACGGACCTCAGATGTGACGCGGGAGAGAAATCATTCAAACTACAGACGCGGAGTCTGAGATTGGACTCTCAAAAGTGCTCGCACTCCGCACCCCAAACACAAGCCAGAAATATTATTTGGACGTAATGGATCTTTCTGGGTTGTAAAATGGACTTTTGACAAACACAGAAGGAGACCTGAAGGCAGCTCGATGGCGACCAAATATTCATTTGCAAGTCTCATGCAGTGCTCAATTCTCACCCCTTCAATTAAAACATCCTTTCGAAGTTACAGTTAGTAGACGTTAATATTTTCCAGCTTTTTCAAAACCGAAGGGAGGTAGATGAGGGGCAAATGTTGGTTTCAACAATATTGTGCTTTCACTTCCCCTTGGCCTTAACATTGGTAAGACCGAATCATGTTGAATAGGATTCAGTTCAAGAAGCATAAGCTAACCCCGAATGGAAGTATCTGCACGTGTTTCACTTTGACGGATGGTCTTGTTGAAAACGTGGCACTAGGGAGGATGCGGTGGGGACATGCATCGGTATTTGGCCTTGCCACTTCTGGTTAATGCATCTTTTAGCATTTAATGCTCATCACGCAACACTCCATTCAAAGAAGCTAGGGGATTTACATTTGTCTTTTAATAAGACGCAGATGAGGTCAGCTGGCAAAATAATTCAGAAAATACTGTTTGGCGCCTAATTAACAGGTTTTAACATGTCCTTCACACCCCAGTTCTGATAATTCAACGCATTGTTGGCTTTATTCATTTCCTTGATTCTATTCTCTGTGGAGAAAGGGATAACGAACTTGTGAAGTGTGTTGAGCTTCTAAGCCCTAAGATGGAAAAATACTAAAGATACCAAATATGTCTGGTATCATCCTACGACAGCATTACTAATTTGAGCATCATTTGTTGTTGAGATTTATGATAAGCCAGGCATACCTCGACTGGCAGTGAAGAAGCAGGGCCTACGTTATTTATATAAATAAAATAGGAAATGTAGGGGGCGATTTCCGACTCCAATCTTTTTATGTTCGTCTCAAATGGCAAATAAAAGCCTTCTTATTGGTTGAAATCTAATAGCCTTGGGCAAAAATATTATTCTCTTACGTCAGATAACCATAATATTCAGTTCACAATTCGCCTATAGTTTCTTATATATATATATATATATATATATATATGGCAGCGAGGAGGGACGACAGAGAATGCGGGTAGTTTAATGCAGTACTGTTTGGAGCTTATTTTGCCTTCATCCAGCCAATCATTTTGTAAGAAAAATGGAAGTACGAAAAAGCAAAAAGTCGTGTCAAATAGGTAGATGCAAGTTTTAGAGGGACATGAAGTTTGATAAAGTCACGTGCCGGCTGGCCGACCAGTGACCAGAAAATGTGAATAGAATTTGTCGACCCAAATCTAAGCATACTATTTTGGGTGTATAAGGAGAACCTATCTTACGTAAACTTACTGTTTGACTTTTTGCGACGGCGTTGTCCGTCGGGGTTCAGAGCACGCTTAAAATGTTAATGAATACTTTAGGGTTTTAAGTGTTATCAATCGACCGCCCAAAAGGATAATTTCCGCAATACGTGCTTATCAAAAGCAACCTACATGTATAAATGTGCGACGGAATACCAAAAAGGTCACGGGAGACTGATATGACCATTTATAACATATGAGCCGTCGTCAGCCAGTCACGCCAAGCCCCAGGCTCGGATAGCTTGGATTTGACGACGGAAAGAGGGGAGGACGATGTCAGAATCCAATCCTTTATTGGTCCGGTCTTTCGAACTTTCACGAGAACCACTGTTAAGATCTAAAAGAATTGTGAGGCCCTCCACATACCTAAATGAACTCGGCCAAGAATGACTGCCATCTTTACCGGTGATCTGTTCGCACAACACCTTACGAGTGATTGGTCCGTCGATATCCCTTTCGATCTAATCATCCCTAGAGTGCCAAGGTTTCTGCAGCAGATGGAAAGCGCAGTCGCTCGACTGGTCAAAGAGTCTTATGCGATCGAAGTCGGGTTTGTGCCCCGATGAGTACTAGTTGGTGGTTACCAAGGAGATTTGTTCTTCCGTGTTTCAGCCAGTTCGTGATCATGCAGTCTCATATGACACTTCCTACTCGTTTCGCAACGTAAATAGCCTGGCTAAAGTTAAGCTCGATTGGGCAAATGACGCCATATTTTAGAACGATAGTTATTCGGTCCTCAGGATACATCAGCTGCGGTTGGACTGTCACTTTTATCCTGTGTGCGCGACTGCACGAACACGAGCCAGCTGTGGGACTGACGGACAAGTGGTCCTTGGTGGTCACTCCTCCGTCCTTCTCAGGTAACAATTTCACTCCCGACCGCGTAAAAATCTTGGGTCAATCCGGCTAGTGAGTTTCGCGTTTGCTACATGAAGCGTGACACAACAGAGAACTCGATCATTAGGTGTAGCGATCTGCCATCTGCTTACCAGAACATTCGAAAATAAATCACTGACACACCTGAAGGTCATTCTCTGCAAAAGTGAGTTGAATTTACTGTGAGTTATGCATTTCCTTTACTCTCTGACGATATGCTTGCGTGTGCGTTCGAAACACTGGATGAATAAACGGCTGATCCCGTGTAAATATTTGCAGGGCGAGAGGTCATTCTGGATCTGGTTACAGTGCAGGGCATGACCATCTGGTTTCGCCCTGGAACTTTAATCCATAGTTCTCGAAGGCGATTGCATAGTGACAATAGTAAAGGAGGAGTACCGACAAGTATACGAAGGAATGGATAACACTCTTGTCTTCTTACTCATTGTCAGGCAGTCGCATGTTAGCCCCCTTCACGATAGCGCGTAATTTCAGTTTGATCAAAGGTCATAGGTTACGATGCGTGCCTCAGGTCACTTATCCGAATACTATCGCGTTTTGGAATTCTAACTTCCCTATCAATGTTGTTTGGTTAAACCCCTTTACAGACATTCGAATGCAAGCTTCTAGTCATATTATTTGGCAAATTTCCAGCATAAAGATGCCCTTCTTGTCGAACCAAGTATTATTCTCTACCAATGTCTTCATGTATGGAGTGATGGAAAAATTTGTAAGCATTTGATAAATAAAAATGAAAGATCATTTTATAGGGGCGAAATTTTCTTAAGGACCGCTCTCCATCCTTATCGCAGTCCACTACCCTTCTGCAGTTTTCGCAACTTGAACCATGTTGAACAGTGATTACCAAGGACAGTATAGATCGAAAATGGTGATGTCTTGATTGAACCAGTCAAAAGTATTTTATACTAGGAGAAGGGATATTACTAAATTGACATCTTAATCTGAAATGTTTTCGTTTACGATGGAGGGCAGGCTCCCCATCGAGAGCAATTTGAGATATAATAATGGAATGCCAAAAAATACAAGGGAGACCGGAATAACCATTTCCGGCTTATAAGCTGTCATAAGCCATGCATGAGCAATCTCAGATGTAGATCACTCGAGGCTTGGACAATGAATAGTTGCTACTTGAGTGTAACACTACCATTGAGCCGCGGGCCTTTCGTCCCGACGGTTGTGATCTAAAATACAGTAGATGTGCTAACTCATGAAATGTCAACCAAAATTTCGAAAATATTAATTGTAATGGTGTGGCGCTCACCGTTCAGATTACGCGAAATGCACGCCCCGTTATGATTTGTCGCCTTCCAAGGCAACCGCTTGCCGACCAGCAGTATATGCTAAGAATGGAAAAGGCAGGGGAGACGCAGTGGTCGCTTATGACTTATTAACCGTCATAATCCGCAAATGGTCATTCCGGTCTCCTATGTCTTTGTCGGTATCCCATTATAAGTATATGGCACCAGTCGTCGTGCCACTGTCTACGAGGGCTCTAACTTGAGCCCCAGGGAATAGCGGGGCCTGATCGGCGAGCGTCACCCTTCCTCAAATTCAGATATCTTCGGTGATATCTAGGGGAGGCTGTATGAAATCTCTTGATGTCCATGGACATTTGGCGGAGAGGGTGCCTGTCGACTAGGAGCGAGAATACTCAAACTAGATTCAGAAGATGAAGATGCGATCACTGGGACAAGAAGTTTATTGGCCTGACGTTTCGGGTTCTCACTCGAACCCATCATCAGAGACATTCGCAGATAGAGGTAAAGGTGGCACCAGGAATGCAGTATTTATAGCACGTGGCTG